GACTTTTTGTCAATGTAAGTAAATCTTTTCGAAAACTATTCACTGCTTAATTATTAATCTACTAATACTTTTTTGTAACCTGCTGTAAAACTGAGAGATAAGATAATTATTAATTACTTATTACATTTCTTGGAGTTTCACCGGAGTTCTTGATAAATAAATAATACGTGTTCTGAGATTCAATTTAGAATTCAAACTTATGACTAAAAAATTAAATTAAAATAATTAAAAAGAAGACAGAGTCACTTTTCTCTTACACTTTCTTTTCACAAATTGTTGTTCATTTATCATAATGTGGTTTCAGATATCCTGGCGTGTGTGAATTGCCACATACTGTTGGGGCAGAATATACAATTACATGAATACAATGTTACTAATCTAAGTTCAGAACTTGTATCTATTGTTGAAGAATGGTGTGGTCGTGTGGTAAGTGCAGATTATTTAAATACCATAGTGTATGTACTCCTGTTAGAGGACCATTAACAATGCTATAAAATTCTTATTACAGGTGTCTGTTAATGATCAATTATGTCAGGCATGTCTAATGCTTGTGAAAAGAGAGGCAGCTAATCGTGATGAGGACGCTAGTCATCACTCGGAGAGGGAGATTGGACACTCCTGTGTTTGTGTGTGCTGTGGAGTATCACTATCTACACAAAGTGGACGGGGTCGTCACAGACTGCCATCGAGGAGTGTAGCACCTAACTTATATAGAGAACCAAATATTTCCTACATACTGTATGTATAATATTATATTTTAGCCATTTGATTTTTTGCATTTTATATCATACAGATTTGTTTTGAAACATGAAAAGAAGAGATATTTAAGACAAACTTTTGATGGACAGGCAAGACTAAAACTTCTGAAAGAAGTCATTGGTGTACTTTCTTCTTGAAATATTAGACCAACAGTTTATATTTTATGTCTGATTAACCTAGAACAAAAGAAATAAAACATTTCCTTAATTTTCAGGTTCCTGCAGAAGCTTGAGTATGCCATGCTTGTTGGATGAGAGCCTATGAAAACAATCCATTACAAGACGACATAATTGAAATACCTCCAATTGTATTTGTCTTACAGGAATACATTTCTTGTACCGGATCCAGTGGTTAGATTCTTCGGTTCCAGCAAGTTCAGTACTGCTTAGTTCTGAATCAAGTTCTTGGGCTGGAGCTGGAATAGCAAACCCATCACCAAACCATAATCTTATGGAATTACCAAATTATAGATGCATATTCGATTCACCAAACCACTGCTTCTTTTTAGATGGTATATTAATTACAGATGACGAAGATTAATAAAATGTGATTATTTTTTTAAATGTTTTATTCTTCCTGAAGTTTTCCTTTCTCAAAATCATTACTGGAATTTGCAATCATAGTATTTCTATGTATTGAAGTTTCCTAATGAAAGAAAGAAGAAAGAAAAAGTATTTATTGGCCATAAGTTGGTACATAAGTAGAAAAAAAAACAATGAGCAAAAACAATAAAATTAAAACAAAACAGAGAAAATACACATGAGAACAAATAATGGCCAATCAGGCCCTGCCCCAGCTTAATACTGTTATTGTGGGAACTAATATTCCCACCATAACAGCGCTGGTATTCCGGCAGGGCCTGTGTAATGACGCCAGAGGGACAAAATATTAGTGATTTAAAATTATATAATGGTATAAATAAAAAAACCAAATAAAAATAGGTAGTTAAATGCAAATATATATAAATATTATGATGCTTAAATTATGTTACATAAATAATAAATGTATAATGGTTATTTTCTTGTAGTTAAATGTCTTATACTTAAGATAAATTGAAAGCTTGTAATTTATATAAACAAATTATCAGGCAATAATGTTATTTATTACCTAGGCATTAAAAACATTTTTTAATGATATCGATTTATTTAAAATCTTCATCCATAGTTAATAACAAAGACAAATAAAAATAGATAGTTGTTTTCATAATGTTATTAATATATTTCAATAATTTTGTGACTATCCTCCATTTTTAACTCTATCGAATATACTTAGTTACCTATATTTATAATTACAATAATCAATTAGATTTTCACTTAAAATTGGCAAAAATGCGTGGTACATAGAGATATTATCCGTTTGTGTATCCTAGAGCTAGGGCTGCCATCTCTAAAATGTGGCAACCAGGATAAGACGCGTGATATCCCCGGATTTTGAAGCCCTGAACCCGGACAGAACAATAAAAAAACAGTTAAAATATCACAAATCAACTTTTTTATGTTGATCTAGGCAAAAGAGCTAGCGGTCTATCTCATAAGTGGTCACTGCTGCCCATGGACACTTGCAGCACCAAGGGCCACTCATGCGTTGCCGTAAATTTTTAAACCCGGACTACAAATAAAACCCCGCCCGGACGCTCCCCGGACGCCCCGTAAACTAGGACAAATCCGGGGAAACCCGGACGGATGGCAGCCCTACCCAGAGCTAATGTGTGGCGGGAAACCTTGGATCATTTAGTCATTCCGTCGGAGTAGACTTTAATTATTTTTATACACGAGCATTCGAATTGACTATCAGTTGACGACGAATCATTGAAATAAAGCTTTCTATGAATCACTTCACATTTGAATGCAAACAGAACGCATGTATTCTTCATATTTTCTATTTTTATTTAGAATATAATTACTGAAGACATGGCTGTATGGGCGTGATCTCTTTGCCATCTCTTCAAATAAAACAGCATAGAAGCACTGGGGTAGCCAGCATAAAGACAAAATGAAAAACTTTGCTTGTAATTTAAAAATAAACGGAGGTAAAATAAAAATTGAAATTCATAGGACATTCTAGAAAAAATAACAGCTTTTCAATGATATACTTCTCATGGCTGCCGGTTTTTGACTACCACTTTTATACCGTCTCCTTTCACCAAAGCAAAGATGACTAGTAAATTTATATGCCACCAAAAATATTTGAAAATCACCACGTTTTTTAATTTCAGTTTTATATTTTCACCATGGTTAAAGGCAATATATGTATATTAAATATAATTTTTAAATGATTAAAGAAACAGTTTTTTATTATTTAAAATGTTTCGTAACAATATGAAACAAACTTTCCATTATAAATAGTATTTTTTAATGTTTCAGCTGTATTTATGTGAAATAAATGAGTGTTTTTTTTTTAAATATAATTTAATAGTAAAGATGTACGTATTTTGTACTTTCAATAAAATGTAATTTCCACTCTATTGAGTGCAAAAGCCCAACCTCTATACAAAAAAATAATAATAACATGTCCTTTGTGCATGTCAATTTCTATGATTACATATTAATAACACTGATTACCTTCTGTTGGGGAATCCTCTTGTAAATCATAATAATGTCAAAGGATAGAACTTATCTGCTTTTTCATAATCCTGTCCTAAAAACTCGAACTGCGGCGATGTTTACGCCTAGTTTTTAACATTTTTTCTTGATTTTACAAGAAAGACACTCCTCCTTCATGGGTTTGCGTTTTCCCATGGAGTTTTGTAGTTTAATATACAATAACACTATAAATTAAACGCGAACGCAAAATTACGTGCACGATGGCCGCGACACAAAACGTGTATGAATATATTGAGTTACCCCCAGCGAGCGAGCGCATATTTTATTTTATTTTTATTATATTTTTTAGGCAAAGGTTAATGTTGCTCTAAAATTGTGTACGATGGCAGCACATAATGCGTGCTACTACAAGTGAATTAAATGTAATCTCGAAGGGCGAATCACAGAAGTATAATAGTATAAATATTTATGTAAAGTAATAATTAGACGAGTCAACAGAAAAAAAACGTTATTGAAGTGAAAACTTCTATAGTATCGTGACTTAAGATTCGATGAAACGGAAGTTGAGTATTTGACACAAGATAGGTATCCATAATTATATCATTTAATTTACTATAAGAGACAGATGGCCGAACGCAATTGGTCTCTTGAGGTCGAGGCGAGAGTTGGTGGTTTGAACCAGATTTCGGATGTTATTTTAACTGTTTTTTTTCTGCTTTTCTATACTAATATTATAAATAGGAAAGATTTGATTATTTGTTGGTATTGAATAGGTTCCGAAAGTACTGAACCGGTTTAAAAAAATCTTACACATTTAAAATCCAATATTATCCCTGATTAACATATGCTTTAGAGTATTTTCAAAAAAGTTAGGGTTCTGTGAAAAATTCGATAATGTAACCAAGGGTGTGAAGAAAGTACCAAAAAATTACCTTATATCGTTTACGCGGTGGAAGTCTTGACGATAGAGCAAAGTGATGTACTAAAGTTTTATAGAAGACATAAATATCTACAAAAAAATCCCCGATGACATATGTCTAACTATTACAGTTATGTTAAAGCTAAAGGTCTCCTGCGGTTTCACCAGCGTTAATTTGAGAAAAAGGTTATAGTGAGTCAAACTTAAAAGATGGGCATATGCTGTCGCGGACTTTTTATAGAAATTTTAAAGGGGAACAATTCCGTCATCCAAGATTTTTGTGGAACTTTAACATAGAGCAACACGGCCGACGCGGCCAGGAGTGGAGTAGGCATACACAGCTTTCCCCTCTGTCGGGTTAGGCATACAAAAGATACGTGTGTACAGGATTTGAAGATATATTGTGTCATTGTTTAGGTGTGAGTGTCGTAGTTACTTTTGTTTTATGTGAGTGTAAGTTAAACTGCGTTTGTGTGCATATTTCCCCCCGCAAAAATTTACATTGATTTGAATAGTATAATGGCGCTATGGCTACTCCCTTTCGTGTGGCTCTAAGAACTTTAATACTGAAGAGAAAAGAACTAAAATGAGTAAAAACTACGTGACTCTTGCTATATGTGAACTCGAGCTCGCGCTGGTCATAAGGGGACCGAGATATCGTGTCCGTGAGCGGTGTCTGAGTATGCTTTGCTCTCGAGCGCACTTTCTATGTTGATTGATTTCTGTACTACCTATTTTGTGCAAAAAGAACAAGTATTGGGAAATAGTAACGTTTTCAGCCGCCTTTGTACACTGATGACGAGAGAGCGAGCAACCAACGCACTGTGGACATGGTCTCTGACCTGATGCACAGCTTCGCGCACGCGTACCACGCGGTCAGCGATATCACCTTCACCGTGGGACAGCGCAACCCGCGCCTCTTCGCCGAGGCTGCCGTCAGTCGCCATCTGATCCCTATGCAGGTAAAATCCAGCGTTCATACATAACTGTGTGTAATGCCAACTTCACCGTGGGGTAGCGCAATCCGCGCCTCATCGCCGAGGCTGCCATCAGCCGCCATCTAATCCCCATGCAGGTAAAATCCAGCGTTCATACATAACTATGTGTGGCGTTACCTTCACCGTGGGGCAGCGCAATCCGCGCCTCTTCGCCGAGGTTGCCATCAGCCGCTATTTAATCCCCATGCAGGTAATATCCAGCGTTCATACATAACTGTGTGTGGCGTCGCCTTCACCGTGGGGCAGCGTATTCCGCGCCTCTTCGCCGAGACTGCCGTCAGCCGCCATCTGATCCCCATGCAGGTAACATCCAGCGTTCATACATAACTGTATGTGACGTCACCTTCACCATGGGGCAGCGCAACCCGCACCTCTTCGCCGAGGCTGCCATCAGCAGCCATCTGATCCCCATGTAGGTAACATCCAGCGTTCATACATAACTGTGTGTGACGTCACCTTCACCGTGGGATAGCGCAATCCACGCCTATTCGCCGAGGCTGCCGACAGCCGCCATCTAAATCACATGCAGGTAAAATCCTGCGTTCATACATAACTGTGTGTAATGTTACCTTCACATAGGGGCAGCGCAATCCGCACCTCTTCGCCGAGGCTGCCATCAGCCGCCATCTGATCCCCATGCAGGTAACATCCAGCGTTTATACATAACTGTGTGTGACGTCACCTTCATCGTGGGACAGCGCAACTCGCGCCCCTTCGAGGAGACCGCCATCAGTCGCCATCTGATCCCCATGCAGGTAACATCTAGCATTTATACCGTGCACTTTCGTTTTGACAGAAGCCTAAAGAATTTCACGTAACAGCGCGGAACAATCATAAAAAAATTATAGATGCGGTACTTGTGCACTCAGGCTAGTTGAGCATACCATGCATTATTAAAAAAAAAATGGTTCATAGACAGAAACACTTAGTTTCGTATTACATATACCTAAATAAATGTATTTTTGATGTGTAACATCTTTCCTCTCGCTTTCGTGCAATTTGTGGGAGTGATTACGTGAAGTGGGACGGAAGTGTGTAACAGGAAGTTTGGGAAGCGCGCGCTATTTGATTTGATTTTAGAACATAATGTTCAAATGGCTTATTCCTTTTGTAGTAGGTTTTATTTCTTTTCTTACTAATATAAGGTGAGGTTTCAAATGTTACACTTCATACGCGACTACTGTAAGCCTGTTTTTTTTATTTTGTGTTATTGACAATGAAATATTTCAGGCGCATATTAACGTGATTCAGTCTAATCGGCGTCAACAGTCCACCCCGAACACTTCGACCACGACTGGCTCTGGGAGTGCCGAGAACGCGGCGCCGACTCAAGCGACCGCTGCAGCCACTGCCACAACCACCACCACATCTTCGACCAACGCCGAAGCAAACGCCACTCAGACGACACGAGGCACTCAGCAGTCCGCCACAGCCGGTAGGAACACCACCCAACCGACTGTCAATATAAACATTCAGCCAGAACCTATCAGCTATCAGTTAGAAATAGAAACCAGGGTGCCCATCGCGTTCCCTCTGGAGAGCACCCTTTCTAACGGGCTGAACAATGCGAGGACTCCCGGCCAATCACAGTCGCCCCGGAATCAGGGGCCACAGACTCAGAGCCAACAGAATCAATCGAATCAACAGGAGCAGAACCAAAACCAACAGAACCAAGCCAATCGCCGTCCAATGCTATCCGGTAAGCTTTGAACAACATTTGAACACAGTTCAGCGTTCCAAGTCAACGTGTGGGGTTACCAAGGTCAATTGCATTTCGATGTCTGCGTAGACATTCTGTGTCAGTCGCTTAATAAAAAAATTGCTCTGAGGCCCAAGTACGAATTTTAGACAGCCCCGTAACGTATCGCATCGTGAAAGTTTCTATGAAAACTAAGCAGCTCCCCTATTGGACGTAAAAACAAACTAGCTGTCCATACAAAATTTTACGCTGACTATACGATACGGAGCTGTCAAAAACTCGTGCTTATGCTTCTGATAGATTAGCTGCGATTAATGTTTCGCTGTGTTGATGTGTTCTGTAGCATGTTTTATTATTATGATTCACACCCTGGCTTGTTACTAAAAATAACCTTCTTTGTTGTAGATTTTGAAAATTTACTTAGAGGATTGGCATATCCAGGTGGACTCGGAGGCGTGGAAGTTGTAATGAGTATGGAAGAGATACCGCAAGGTGTTGGTGTTGGTCTTGGAAATCTTAGTAATCTTGTTGGTGCATCTGCAAACACTGCTAACAATGCTCAGCAAGCTTCAACTGCTCATCGGCCTGAAGGAGGAGGTACATATCCATACGAATATTATAAACGCAAAAGTGTGTCTGTCTGTCTTTTTGTCTGTTATCTCTTCACGCTTTAACCCTTAGCACGAACCAATATCGAATTCGAATAGTTTGCGTGTGGCAAATGTCACTGTCCAGTTTTGTGTGGCGGCAGCGCCACAATGGACGTAACGAGAACTAAAAGTCGGTACACATTTGACGTATAATATAGATCGAATTCAACTATTCGTTGGTTCGTGCTAAGGTGACTTAGCTGAAATAAGTATAGAGATAGTTTGAGTTCCGGGAAAGCACAAGGGAAAGTTTTTATTCCATTTAAGGGACTGAAAAGGGGGTAGATGTTTGTATAGGAAAACAAGCCGCGGGTACCCACTGACAAACACGGACAAAAAAGGAACATTGGGAAAATTTGAAAATTATTTTATTTCATCAGCCGAATAATGTAAATTATCAGTTTTTGATCTCCTGTATTTGTTAGGGGACTTCGATAAAAATAACTGAATATCCATCTTATAGAGTTAATCGTATTTTAATATTAACCTTTGCTCCTTGAAGCCTGCTTTCCTAGTTTAGTTTATTATTTTATCCGCTTTTTTATATTTTTTTATAAGCTGCTGTCTACGCTCTGTTCTCTATATACTGTTTTGAACTTACATGGCCACTAACATTATAGTTATCAGCGGGATTGTACTTTGTTTTTTGTGACTCTGTTGACTTTTGACGCAGCTCCCAGTGCTGAGGTCCTACAGAACCTCCTGTCGACAGTGATCCGTCAGGGTTTGATACCCGGCGTTGAGGGTGTGGCGGTGCAGATTCCGAATTCGCTCGCCGTTCAATTGCACAATTTCATCGAAACTCAAGCTCAGACTTTGGGCCAGAATCCGGGTCAACCGAGTCAAGGGCAAAATCAAAGTCAGACCCAAAGTTCTGGATCAGGACAGGCCCAAAGTTCTGGCCCGGGACAGGCCCCAAGTTCTGGCCCGGGACAGGCCCAGAGTCATGGATCGAGGCAAACCCAGGGGCAGGAACAAACTGCGGAACAGCCTTCTGCTCAGACCTCTGAAAGGTTTAATCTGGAGACAGGAGTCAACGCTAACAGCACTCCGATCCGACAAGGCGAGTTCTATCAAATATTTTATTAATAAAAACTATTTTTTTAAGTGTTTGTACTTAATCATTTTATTAATTAGAAGGGACAAAGTTAAGCTTGCATAAAGTGACTAAATTCTGTTATTGATTGTAAACTTTAAAACCCAGCTACTATGGTTGCAATTTGATTTGAGAATTCTGGTTGTTATGTTCTGTTAAAAATGCAGTTTAATTTTTATTTTCACATTAAGTTACCACATTATATCCTACTGTATCACTATGCAAAATATCAGAAATAGTTAATGTTAACCTACCTGTATTACAATACAAAATGTTTCTATTTAAACATAGGAGGTCCAATGCAGTTTTTCCGTACCGCCAACACTGGCCGCGCCCAAGCACAAGCATTGGCTCTGGCTAGTCTTGTATACGACAGATACTTGCAATGTGACAGTCAACACACACGTCGCCGTCTACAACGACGCAGGTACAATAGTAGCCGAGAATTGATAAAAAAAATACCGGCCGAATTGGAAACTTACTCTTTTTGAAGTTCATTAACAATGTTGTTTTAATGTTGATATTTCATTATTATTTGATGTATAAAAAAGATAATTTGATTATCCTAGCTCTATAATTACACCTAGAGATAGAGTTATTGGGTAACGATATAGAGTTGATACAACCATTGTCCAACAATAACAACAAAAATTTTTAAACAAAAAATAAAACCGACTTCAAAACCAGTTTTTTTTTACTTATTAGTTCCATTTTCGATTTTGAAGTCGGTTTTATTTTTTGTTTAAAATTTTTCGAATAAAAAAAAAATTGGTAATTGGTCCACAATCGACGGAGTAATCGGTGAACATACATTAAAAAAAATACAGTCGAACATAGAACCTCCTCCTTTTTTGAAGTCGGTTAAAAAATAGAAATATTACTGTAATATAAATACCAACCTCTTAACGATATATCGTTTTCGTAAAAAAATGGATTTAAGTTTTTATCTTTTTTTATACACTTCTGGACACATCTATTGGCCCACCTTAGAGTTTAGGTTTCGATGGCCCCTACCGAAATATGATTGCTAGATTGAACAAAAACTGTTGATGCAGTTTTAAACCTGATACATTTTACCATATTTTTCGATTGTATTGTTTTAAATTTGAATCCAGGATACCATACGACATGGACCTACGCCTAACATGTCGGATATGCGCCTTGTTAAAGGCAATTGACTTTTGAATAAAAAAACATGTTTTATCTAATAAAGGTTTAATTTAATAACGCGTGTTGCCTCCATGGGCATCTACCACAGCTCTCATACGATTAGGCATAGAGTTTATCAACCGCTCCATGAAATTTTGAGGGATCATCACCCATTCCTCTTCTATGGCAGTTTTCAACTCCTGCATCGTCTGGGCAACTGGCTGACGAGCCCTAATACGTCTTTTTAGCTCGTCCCACATGTGCTCAATGGGGTTCATGTCTGGGCTTCTGGCTGGCCAGTCCATAACTGTGATGTTCACATCCCTAAGATATTCCCTGACGATGCCGGCCGCATGGGCTCTTGCATTATCATGCATAAAAAGGAAATTTGGGCCCACATAGTCCGCGTATGGTATCACGTGAGGTTCTAAGCACTCACGAATGTGCCTTTCAGCATTTAATGTTGGCAGCCGTGGTCCTGTAACAACCTCAAGTTGAGTTTTGCCGCTCGCGGATATACCGCTCCAGACAGTCCATGAGCCACCGCCATAAGCAACCCTCTCTTCAAAGCAGCATTGTGCGAAATGCTCTCCCTTACGTCGGTAGACCTTCTTCCTTCCATCATTGCCATGTAACACAATTTTAGACTCATCAGAAAAGAGTACACGGCTCCAATCTTGCTGTTTCCAATTTAAATGACTGCGTGCGAAGGGAAGGCGCGCTGTTCGGTGGGCTCGCGTTAGTTTGGGCCCATTAGCTGGCTTGTGTGGTACCATATCGCGTTCTTTTAACCTTCTCCGAACAGTTCGACCGCTCACAGATACTCCGTGGAAGTCGCGAATTTGTTTTTGTATCTCAATGGAGGTAAGGTGACGATTTCTCAAGCTGGTCGTCACGATGAATCGATCCTGCCTTTCAGTTGTGACCCGAGATCGTGGCCTTCCTTGGTGACGAACAAAGCCGCCAGTCTCTAGGTACCTCCGATAAATATTTCGGACCGCAGATCGACTTAAATTAAGTTGAGCACTCACGTTTCTTTGGCTGTGTCCGGCCTGAATAAGTGCCACAGCTTGGACGGCGACTTCAGGTGAAGTATCCATAGATTATTGATAGAACCTCACCTTAATGTTAAGAATAAGTAATGTTTGTTGCAAAACCAAAGATATCAATCACTTTTTCAAGAATTAAATCCAAGTAAACCAATAAAACCAAGTTTTCTTAGTATTCGATTGTTTGATATCAACAAACAGGCTAAAAATTGTCTTTTGTTTCTTTAAATTCTCTGTTCGAAATTCAAAAAAAGACTATTGAATGAAATTGTGAATGTGCCAGGTTCAAAACTGCATAAAAACTTATTGCTCGACCTAATATAAAATTTTAGCTAGGACCAAACTAAACTGAAAATACAAGGTGGGCCAATAGATGTGTCCAGAAGTGTATAAAAGATTTTAATTTGAAAAATATTTTTGAATACTTATCTAAGTTGGTTGTACAACTGTTATCCTTACTTGATGTTAAGGTAAACGAGTGCCCGATGATCTACTTAATCGATTAATTACTGTAAATCATCACCAAAATTTAATTTTCGTTAAAATAATATTGATGTTCATTATTTTATATCCGTTGTCGGCTACCTATTCTATGCTTGGTTTTATATCGCTTTAAACTCGTAGGGAACATCACCAACAGCAAATGGAGCAGCAGGAGCGCACTAGGGCGGAGAGGATCGCTTCGATAAACATTGAGGCGTTGCGCCATCGTCGCCTTGATTTGACACCGGTGATACATATTTGTTATTATCGTCATCAGCCCATTTAACGTCGCCACTGCTTGAAATAGCTCCAGATACCATTTAAGGAGGATTTTTGAATTTTAATCATTACCACTTTTAAATAGCCAATAGCTTTATAGTTCCGATTATTTTCTCATTCTAATTCTGTATAAGTAGACTGAAAATATTCACGTTTTTTTATCATCTTAACATAATGGAATGTCCGCTTTCAGCGTCACATGACAAACATCGTGCATCTTCTGAATAGCTCGCCGTCTCCGGCATCCTGGTTCAACGCGCTGATGGTAGCAATTGTAAGTACAATTGATATAAAATGTATTCGAAACATTGAATTGATAATACTATGTCGGAGCACATGGGTCTCGGACATCATTAGATAGGTTCTCCGTGCTTAGGCGAAAAAAGAAATACCCAGAGAAATAAATAATACCCAGGAATTTTAATGATAACAATCAATTTACTTTTACGAACAGTGTTTCAACATCAAAACGACCTTTTCAGCCACCGCATCTAAATAAATCCAATATGAAAAACTTTAAATTTCAATATTCTTTTAAAAATTATTAAATACTAGAAGATTAAATCGCAACATAGAGTGACTGTGAGATAGAAGAATGAACTTTTTAAATGACAGTAGTGTCATACGTAGTTCTAAATATATATGTCAGCGCCCGCAGGCACCGGTGTTAAAATTATGAGCACTTTTACATAATTGCGCCGTTGCCGTACTGATCGACGCGTAGAGGTAGATTTGCACTAGTATATATTGCATTTTACGGGTGATGTTTCGAGTCTTATAAATTAATTATTCATAAACTAATTATAAAAATATATACATATTTCAGTAGTTCAATGATGGTAGATTAGTTTTATGAAAGTTTTTGATAGTAATTCTATTTAATTCAATATCAAAATACGAGGTAAACCTGCATTAATTTTTGGGAAAAGTCACGGAGGTTATATGTTTTTTCTTTTAAATTAATGAGATGGAAAATCAAAATTCTAATACATTATGTTACAACAAAAACATATTTCTGGTGTCATAGAAATTAATTTGATCTAATTTATTGAACATTATTGAGAGATTGAGGCGTTTGAAGTTGTGCATATTATCGTTTTTTCCGTAAACTAGCTGCAGTAGAAAGATCCGTACAAAAAAAGGAAAATAGTATTTGCAAATATTCTACATTAACTTACAATAGGAAGAATAAATCTACTTTAATCTAGTTCTATTGGAAATAGTCAAAATCTTTTCTAAGGGGGTAAAACGATACACTAAAAATTACGTTTTTTTTAAAATGTGAAAGGGCTCATAAGATAGTACACAAATTACACGGGAACTATTAGAGACACGGAAGAACGTGTCATAACATTCAGAGGTAAAGTTTTGAAGAAATTAATGTAAAATATTTATTGATTACTTATTTTGACAGTTACCGACACCGTTGACACGTGGAGGCTAAAGAGCGAGATGTAATCTGCTTTATGCATGAGAGTGATAGAGACTACTTTAGTGTGTTCTATTGGCGGGAATTGAAAGAAGTTGGGGCGGGAACTACTTAATATAATTTTGGCATATAACCTGTCTATATTATACATTGGTTCAAACCTAATGTTCTCTTGTCTTATTTTTAGCAAACGAAAGTGAACAGTATCATTTTTAGTCCAGCCAAGGGGCGCTGCATGCATGAGCATCGCGATATGATAGATATATCGTTTTTATCACGCTCAATCCTTTTTGATTTTGATATGTTGTGGTGCTCCTCGGTTAACTTTTGTCTACATTTTGTAGTAAGGCCGTTTATGTTTTCTGGTTGTTCGTAATAGGCGCGTCAACAGTACATGTCGGACTTGCTTCACGCGTCCGGCTCGGAGCCAGCGCTGCTCCCTCACGAGTTTCAAGAGCTCAAGTTGCTTCTGCGCAGCTACGTGCAGCACTTGATCATTCGCTCCGGAAACAATGAGAGCGACAACGCGTTCCAAAGCGTGGCGGACTACCTCATCGAGCAGAATGAGGAGTTCATCGAAAACATGGTGAGCAGTAGGTTGTTTGAAATCGTTGTTTTAAAAATTATTGTGCATCTCCCTATGTGTTGTAATAAAATAAAATATTAGTTATAAGTTTATGTTGCTTTGGCTGGCCCTTTACAAGGGTATTCATGAATATTCAATTAGGTATAGGTATTTATGTATAAAAAACATTTTTATACCACGAGATTTATATTCATAGTGGTTTGACTAAAACAATATTTGAAATTCATACGGTCACAAATGGTTTTACCAAGTATTTACCAACGCCGGTATATTATAGCTATTCGTATTTAGAGTTTGTAAACTTGACAACAGTCTCTCCTTTTCATTCCGTATAGCGCATGAAAAGTCCAACCTGCTGTTAAAATGACAAATAGCAAATATGAATGGCCATGTAAAAACGGCACAAGAGAGTAGCGAATACATTAATTGCCCTATTTGCACATGCTATTATGTATTATGCCGAGTTTTGTATCAGGGCAACGTCACTGGCATCCGCAGCGACATCGACCCCGTGGAGTCTATCCGCGCATTGGTGCGTTCGCGCCTTCCCGCCGTCATAGCGTGCGTCATGTCGGACTCTAGTACCGAAATGTTCGTGGTGCGCTTCTACGCGATGTTCCTGCGCATCTACTCGGAGCTGTGTGCGTTAATATGCCATATGTGCGACGAAGGTGAACACGGGTTGCGGCAACTGTACATGGCATACTTGGTGAGTTTTGCACAACATTCTGCCTAATCTTTGCCTCACGTTACCGCGGATTGTGATCACTTGGATGAGCTCGATAACGCAGGTGGTTAGCAGGTTCGGCCTGATCGTGTAACGTAAGCAACTTTTGCAATGGTCTGTCATTGGATGGGTGACCAAAATCTTATTGTCTCGAGCTCCTCCGTGCTTCGGAAGGCACGTTAAGCCGTTGGTTCTGGCCTCTTGTTAGCACCCACCAATCCGCACGGGGCCCGCGTGGTGGGTCACGGCCTAATCACCTTTTTTTATTCATAGGGAAGGCCTGTTCCCGTGCATTGGGGACATTAATAGACTGATGAAGATGATGATTATGTGATAATTTTAATTTGGGTGTCCATGGTTGCTCTGATTGTCTAATAGAATTTGCTTAAGAAGGTTTCTGCGCTCACTTGAACCATCTAGTTGGCGAGCGACTCCACCAACCAGCTTTCCAAGACTCTGCCTCCACTTCCCATTAGGTGGACAATATATGAAAGTACGCGACCCAAGCAGTCTACCATACACTATCTGAGGCCCAAGAACGATTTTTTGACAGCTCCATACCGTATCATCATCGTCAAATTTGGTATGGAAAAGCTAGTTTTTTCTTACGTCCGACAGGGCGCAGCTTACTTTTAATAGAAACTTTGACGATACGATACTTTACGGAGCTGTCAAAAATTCGTGCGTTGGGCCTTATATGGTGTAAAAGAGATGTGTTTTGATGTTCAGCTGTGATAGTATAGATACATTTATGCTTCTGGTTGTCCAGGCAAGCACTCGTCTTCAACACTACATTTTGAATTTCTATAATATCTACAGTCTTTTCTCGAGCTACAATACATTTTATAGTCGTAGAAAGGAAAAGTGGAACTAGTGAACTTAGTAAGATACATGTATAATAATTGAATTGAGTTTGTTTTAAATATATTTGATAGTTTATTTAAATAATAATAATAATTTAAGTAAAATTGAAACGCCCTTGCAGGGTGTCACATATTTGTGCACCTTATGATATTATTGTTTTTGTACAATCTGTGGCATGCAATAAAGAATAAATAAATAAACTAGTTTTGTATTGAATTTTGCTTGAATAGGATGAAGTTGTGCAGCAATTCGACGAGCCAATTCGTTCGACGATGCGCGTCTTTGGCTTGGATAACATGGTGGGCATCATGGGCAATATCGCCAATCATCAAGAGACTATTGCACAGTTCGTGCGCCGAAGAGATGGTGTAATGCCGAATGTGAGTATTGCATCTTCTACTGTTTCACACATACCCACTGATAGGCGGCTTTAATTTTTACCTGTACTACATATAAAGTCATATAGTGTTTATTTATAAACACAAGATTGTAGAACGTTAAAGAGTTATTTATAATAATTTCATGTATCAGAATTAAAGTTTTGTTAATATTTTTAAAAAGCTTCTTCGCATTTTATATGAAAATTCAAAATATTTTTAATACAGTTTATTTAAATTTAACTAAAGTATGTAAGTATGGTGCCATTTTCTTCGATACTATTTGCCGTCTTGTAGGTAGAGACATGATCCTATTGCTATATAAATTTTGGGGCTTCTGATCAAAAAATTGGGACAAGTGGTTTTGGCAGTCCTCTCGTGATGTTAACCTGATGCTGCCTAAAGGATTCTGAAGAGACCGGAACAGGTGGAAATCTGCAGGTGCAAGAAATCAGAAATCAATATATCTTTATTCAAATTGGATGTAAAGAACAACTCTTTTGAATCGTCCAAAAATTTTTTTCCCTACCACTCGTTATGGACATATTTTTTAGCTGCGGAGAAAAATGAGCGAAAAAAACTCCACAAAATTAAAAGTCTAATGTAACAACATTTACAAATCATCATGTTGTTATAAAGTCAATACTATTATGATTTATTTAATATAGAAAATCTGTTGGCATGATTGGAACAGTTCAAACCCAAGCATTTTTGTCTGTAATATAATCAGACACTTTGTAATAAGCTATTTTAATAAGTGCTTTTTTTTATAATATCTTTAAATTTATTTATGGCTAACTCTTGGATATTGCTTGGGACTTTATTGTATAAGCGAACACAAAGACCTTTAAATGAATTATTAATTTTGTGAAGCCTAGTAGCAGGTAAAGTTAGTTTATTTTTGTTTCTTGTATTAATTGTGTGAACATCACTGTTTTTAAGAAACAAATTAATATTTTTTCTTACAAGTAATAAATTTTCGTATATGTATTGTGATGCGACCGTCATTTTTCCAAATTCTTAAACTTATCTCTTAATGATATTAACTTTAAGATTATAAATTGATCGAATAGCTCTCTTCTGCAGCACAAAAATAGTTTGAATGTCGGCGGCATTTCCTCACAATAAAATTCCGTACGACATTACATTATGGAAATAACTAAAGTACATTAATCTAATCACTAAAGTAACTGGCGTATCTTCATTACGGCATATGCTGCAGAGCTAAGTCTATTTGACAATTTATCAATATGTGGACCCCATTGAAGCTTAGAATCTAAAGTTATCCCTAAGAATACTGTGGTGTCTACAAGGCCCACATTCCTATCCTTTACATTCACACTGGTTTTTACCTGTTTTACATTAGGTAATAAAAATTTCTTAAGAGGTTGGGAGGTTGAAATTAAATAATTTTCATTATATTCTCCCTTAACCCTAATACATTTTTCAGATCTCTCAAATAACTTGTATATACCATCGAAAAAAAATTATTTGTCTTTGGTGTCAAAATAGGCCGAAATTGCGGACTTCACTTCTTTATCGTCAATTTTTTTCCACGCAGATAGATCTTCCTTCATTTTTGGAAATAAATAATAGTCACTGGGTGCCAAGTCTGGACTGTAGGGTGGGTGGTTCAATTGTTCGAAGTCGCATCGGTGAATGGCAGCCGTCGCAACATGCCACGTGTGAACGGGTGCATTGTCGTGCAGAAGGAGCACAACTTTTAACAGCTTTCCTCTTCTTTTTCCTTGATGGCTTCTTTCAATCTTTCCAGTAAAGAAGCGTAATACTGTCCCGTTATAGTCACACCACGTTCTTTATAAGCAATCAGTAAAATACCTTCTGTATCCCAAAAGACAGTCGCCATGATCTTGCCAGCCGATTGTGTCACTTTGAACTTCTTTGGAGGAGGTGTGCCTTTTTTATGCCACTGCATCGACTCTTGTTTAGACTCAGGTTCATAGTGGTGAACCCAGGTTTCATCACCAGTAACGATTCGGGCCATAACTTCTTCCTTTCTCTCTCCACAGAGCTTCAAAAACTGGCGAGAACACTCAACACGCTCGCGTTTTTGAAGTGGCGTGAGCATCGGAACCCATCTTGCACTGACCTTAGTCATCCCAAGATGATGATGTAGAATATGCAAAATACTTTTTTCGCATACTCCAATCATTGCTGCAAGCTGCTTCTTCTTCAACCGGGCATCTTCCAATACAAGTTTTTCTACTTTTCGACGATTTCCGGTGTGGTGGCCTCAATTGGCCGTCCAGAGCGGGGGTCGTCTTCAATGGACTCTCTTCCTTGTTTGAAAAGACCATGCCACTTGTAAACCATGATTTAACCAGGGACAGAGTCCGCGTAAATCACCAACAGCTCTTGAAAAATAATCTGAGCGTATTTTCCTTGCTTGGTAAGGAACTCAATAACAGCGCGATGTTCAAATTTCACCATACTGGCTGACTTCTTCCCGATTCAGATGTTTGCAGGTCGATTACTCAAAACTCTCTTTTTAGTTAGTTAGTTCTTCAGGGCGGTTTCCGCACTTAGTCCTAATTATTGGACCATTGTGCGTGTCTCAAAACATTCCCGTTTACTCCAGCCAGCCTATATCGGTCCAGAAGGAAAGCAGCCTTGGTAGACTGCTGCAAGCTTCCGGAAACGATTCTGGTGACTGGAGAAGTCGTGCCCGTTGGTCGGCCACACTCCTGCATTCCATGATGACATGCTGTGGCGTTTCTTCTGCCTCCATGCATCCTCTGCATAGGGGGCTGTCTGTAACTCCTATTGTATATAGGTGCTTGTTTAGGGGACAATGACCAGTCAGGGATCCTATAATCCTGCGAAGCTTGTCCCTATTTAGTCTGGTAAGGATGCGGGCAAAACTTTTATTTACCGCCGGAACCGCGTTTTTCGTTTGCCGGCATCCTTCACCTGTTTTCCACTCCGTCAAGTGTGTTTTATGAGTTATTTCACGCAGCCACGTTTTAATTTGGGCCTGAGGTATGGGCAGCAAAGGCTCCGGACCATACACCTTAGTGTCTGCTCCCCTCTTAGCCAGTTCGTCTGCTGCGTCGTTTAAAATTGAGCTGCTGTGTCCTTTTATCCATTGCAGAGTTACCGTGTTGCTAACCGCAATGGATTGAAGTGCCTTGTGGCACTCCATTACTAGGACAGAGTTTATTGTGTTGCTACGTAGGGCTTGAAGCACGGATGCACTGTCAGAGATGATTTTGATGTTATACTCTCTGATATCTCTGGCTGCAACCGCCTGTGCCGCTCTGGTAATGCCAATACATTCCGCCTGGAAGATTGTACTTTGTTTGCCTAAGGTTGTAGATATTTTTATATTCAGGTCGTTTGAGAAGACACCGGCCCTAGTGCCACTGCTGGTTTTGGAGCCATCCGTGTATATCCTAACTTCCCCGGCGCCAGAGTAATCTGCCTTTTCCGCGGTAAGTTGGATGTTGTATCTTCGATCAAAGACGTGTTGACTTAATATTCTATCCATAGGTGCCTCCAGGAGTGGGATCTCCTTCGTGCACTTTTGTAGAATATTGGAGTGTGTTGTTGCAGTATTTACTCTCCATGATCCTAGAGACTTTAGTCTCAAGGCTGCTGCTTTCGCCTCTTCTTGTATGACCAGGTCCAATGGTCTTAAATTCATGAGGTACTCTAATGCAGCCGATGGAGTTGTTCTCATGCATCCAGTTGCTGCTACGCTCGCCAAGCGTTGTAGATTTTGGAGTTTGGATTTCACTGTGGTCAGTTGGGTCCTGGGCCACCAAACAACTGAACCATAGGTTATAGAGGGCCTGATGACTGCTGTGTATAACCAAAGGGTGATCTTTGGACTTAGACCCCACTTTTTACCAACTAGTCTTCTACACTGATTAAAAGCTATGCAGGCCTTCTTTGTTTTCACTTCAATATGACTCGCCCAATTCAATTTGTTATCAAGGATTACGCCCAGATATTTCACTTGTGTTGATAGGGAGAGTTTGGTATTAAACAGTTTTGGTAACTGTAGTTCAGGTTGCTTCCTTTTGTTGGTGAAAAGGACTAGCTCTGTCTTGTTCGGGTTTACTGACAAGTGATGTTCGTCACACCATTTTTCCACAATCTGAAGGGCTGAACGCATAACCTTGCAAAGGGCATTTTCAGCGTTCCCATTTATCAGAATTGTTAGGTCGTCCGCATAACCAATAGTAGTGTATCCTCTGTCATTCAGACTCCGTATGAGACTGTCCACTACTATGTTCCAGAGAAGTGGTGATAGGACTCCCCCTTGGGGGCATCCTCTGACTACCTTCGCACGCGTGGTAGCGTTCCCCACTATCTGAACCGCCCTTTTGCCAACCAGTTCGGTGATCCAACCTCTGGTGACTTGGTCCACCTTGAGTTTTCTTAGGGCGTGGTTAATGCTGTTGTGCATCGTTTTGTCAAACGCACCTTCTATGTCTATGAAGGCTGCCAGTGTTGAGTTTTTATTTGTGATTGCCGACTCTATTTTGTGGACTACTGAATGCAGTGCCGACTCTGTTGATCTGCCTTTCCTGTAGGCATGTTGTTGAGGGTGCAGCGGAGCCTTACTTAGTGCTCCATCCCTAAGGTGTCGGTCTACCAGTCTTTCCAATGTTTTTAAGAGAAAAGAGGTTAGGCTTATTGGTCTGAAGGATTTGGCTTGTGTGTAGTCGTCCTTGCCTGGTTTCGGTAAGAAGACTACTTTTGCCTCCCTCCATGGTTTTGGTATGTACTTGAAGGCCAGGCAGGCCCTAAAGATAGGTTGTAGGTATCTAATTGCCTGACCTAATTGCCATTGTAGTAGCGCCGGGCATATACCATCTAGTCCCGCTGACTTAAATGGTTGAAAGCTTTTTAGAGCCCATTCTATTTTTTCCGCCGTTACTATTGTTTTTGCCAGGTCCCATTCCTGGGTTGTTGGTGCACTGTGGTGTTCAGTCGACCACTCCAGGCCTGGCGCCAGTTGGCATCCTGGGAAGTGGGTTTCCAGTAGCACCGCATTGGCTTCTTCTTCTGTTTTTGTATAAGTGCCGTCTTCCCTTTTCAGGGACCCAAGGAGGTTGGAGTTGTCCTTGGACAGAACTTTCTTGAGTCTGGCAGCTTGATTTGTTGAATTGACACTACTACAGAAACCGCGCCATCCTTCTCTACTCCGGAATCTGATCCGCTTCTTGTAGTGTTTTTGTGCTATTTTATATCTGTCCCAGTCCTCATTGGTTCTGGTGTTTTTCGCTCGATTGAAAAGTGTCCTGAGTTCCTTACGTTGTTTCTCAAGTTCTGGCCCCCACCAGGAACTTCTACCCAGGCCTTTCGGTACGATGGTAGGACACGTCAGTTCGTAGCTTTTGAGAAGTGCTGAAGTGTAGAACTGTACGTTTGTTTCTATGTTGTTTATGTCAGGGATTTCATCATGTATTTGCATCTCGCTTAGTGTTTTAGTTATTAGTTCTACGTACCTTGCAATATCTGTTTTTCGGGGGTTGCGATATGGAACAGGGTCTGTTTGTCTGTATTGTAATTGGAAACATCCTGCGGTGGTCTGCTAAGGAGGGTTCGTTTGACACGTGCCATCCTTCGATTAGATTGGCCGCCGCGTGTGTCGCTAGTGTTATATCTATGATAGTTTGGTACCTAGAGCTAACAAATGTGGGCTCCGTCCCAATGTTCATGATGTTAAGGTTGGTTTGGAATAAGTATTCAGTTAATAACTCACCCCTTTTGTTTGTGTCCTTACTTCCCCACAGTGAGTGATGTGCGTTACAGTCAGCCGCTACAATCAGCTCCCATTTGTGGTCCTCGCAGTGTTGTACCAGCTCGGTCAGCTCCCTCGGAGGAATTTCCCCCTCATTCGGCATGTAGACTGAAGCTAGTACCAGGACTGTTTGGTTATCTGTGGGGATCGTCACAGCTGTGAGGTCTCTAGAACAGAATTGGTTAAGCATGGTTGTTTTTATAGACTTGGGGTGTAAAAATACATGTCCTTGGTTTATCGACAGATGTGTTTAAAAGTAACTTACCACCGATGTTGTTCAGACCGCAAATCCTATTATTTCTGATCCAGGGTTCCTGAATCAGGGCGACGGTCATGTTGTTTGTCTCCAGCACCCTGCGTAGTGTGGCCGCCGCTATCTGCTTGTGCTGGAGATTGGTCTGTATGATAGTGATGGTGCTACTAGGGACTGCGAAGGACGCTATCTTCGTCGCTCACGCTGTCCTCAGAGCTCAGGCCTGCTTCCTCTTCCATCTCGCTCGGACCCGGTTGGGGAGCTGAGGTGGTGGGTGTTGGGATCGCAGCGCCTTCCTGCTCTGTAGTAACACTTGCTGTCGCTACTGTCGGGTCAGCCACTGTTGCTTCGTCTGTCGCGAAAAAGCGGATGTATCCGCTGCCCGACATATGTGCAACACGGCGTTCCCTGTCCAGTATGGTTTGTTTTTGGTCCTCGGGGATTCCAAGGATCAGGTGGACCACCTTCTCCTTAGAACTGCTCTCCGGTTTGTCATCAACGGTCATGTCGTAACACTGCCAGGACTCGACCTTGTACCAGGGGTTCTGGGCACAAAGGAGTTTCTGCAGTGTAGCAGACTCAGTGATGCGGGTGTGGAGAAGAAGCCCAGCTCTGAGTTTCTTCTTCACATCCGACAGCCTAATGACCGTTAATGTGGTGTTCGGTGGACTGGATGGTTTTCACCATTTGCTCAAGCCACTTGAGTGCGTTCTCGTCCTCACACCACATCGCTAGCACCCCGTCCAAGAGGAAGGGTCGCCCGCGGAAAGATGGAGCCTGCGCATCTGGAGACTGCGGAGTCAGAACTGCCTGCAGGATCCCATCGTCGATGGTCTCCTTCAGCTGTTCCGCCTGCTCAGCCGAGAGGTCCCTCGGCGGGACGGTGGTGACCGCTACTCTCAGATGCGATTTACTCGCATCTGCGTAGCTCACCGTCCGCTTCGTCTTCGCATCGGTTTTCGCGCGTTTGGCATCCCCCCTTGGAGACTGCGTGTCGTCCAGTCGTGGCCGCTTCGTGGAAGCTGCCTCGCCCGAGCCACACGCAGCCCCAGGCTGCTCCTTTTCAGGAGCAGTGGGAGCCTCCGCAGCGATCCGCCGACCACGATCACCCCTCGGTTTCGGTCTCCGTCGTGGTGTTTTGTGTGCGTTTGTGTTGTCTGTTTTGTCGGCCCTCTGTATTTCTACAGGCTCGCGCTGTGTTTCCACTGCTGCGGTGACCGACTGTGTACTGTCAAGTTTGGTTTTGGGCTGCTGGGCTTCCCTTCTCGCGCGCTGGTTGGGGCGACTGCGTTCTGTTCGGCCCTGCGAACCTTTGTTTGTGTGTTTGTGGGTGGCCGCCGCACTAGCAGTCTTCCCTTTGCAGGGGCGCTTATGGGCGACCACAGTCCACTGTGTTTGTGCAGGTGTTGTGTTGCTTGTTGTAGCTGAAGTTATGGCCTCAGCTAGGCCAGACAGGTCCAGGCTTGCGCCCTTCCCTGAGCGCTGGTTGTCCCCCCCAGAATACGCGGGATAGACCAAGCTAGGCTTGGTGAGGGATTCTTCGCTATTCGCGATACCCTCCTGGGGTACTGTTTTCTCTTTCGCAGCACTCATGTTTTAGGTTTGGGGCTTTGGCGGGAATGCCAAATAACGCAAACGACTCCTGCCCAAGGGTGTGTGGTACAATATTTTAGGGGGTATTTAGTTTCCCTAGGCCATGTGAGCCCGGGTGTGGATATGCGCCGCCACGGTTCGGCTATCAAAACTCTCTTAATAAGGTGCTCAACTAGGGCCTACTTGGACGAGTATACCTACCCCCACCAACCCCTCCATTCCGGGAACTTATTGACCTCCCCTCGTATGATGCAATAAGATCCAGATCAGTATCTCTAAATCCATAGTGGTCAGGACTATACGACGGATGCACCTCCCGGTCAAACTTTCTTAATTTTTTGCTGAGTGGCTACAGATGTGTGAGGTCTAGCGTCATCATGAAAACCACACCCCTTTTGTTTGTCATCAAAATTTCCAGATTGGAAACGTTTATACCGAATTTGTGCTACTCTCACAGATACTCCATAATCACCACTTTTTTCGCGGCTTGCGTTGCAGTTTTACCATTTTTATAGTAAAATTTAAAAAGGTATGGAATTTTTTCATAAGATTTACTCATAATGACAGTAAGAAAAACAAATAAACATAACACAATTTTTTAATTAAAATTTGGTATTATCTTCTTTAAAATTTCAACTTTTAATGATACCTAAATCAGCCTGATACAATTTGTATAGCCAAATCTATTATAATAAGGAATAGTAAATTATTCATAACATAACAATATGCTTTCGACGTCAAACTGTCTTAAGGTTTCGTTTCTACATAATGCTCAGAATAGTGAGCAAACATTCGTTCGCTCGGTAAATGGAATGCTCAAAGCAAGTGTTGCGTTGTTTTTCATTGAAGCATTCGTTCATTGAGTCTAGTCAAACATCGTTGAACGAACTCTGACGCTTCCATTTACTAATTGTTCGCTCGGTAAATGGAAGTGTCGTCAGTGCGCTAAATGTAAACGCAACATTAAGTAAGAAACGATCTCGAAATATCTGGGACCCAAGCACGAATTTAAAATGCTCCGTAATCGTATAAGCAACGTCAAATTTTGTATGGAAAAAGCCATTGGTAACTAACTTCTGGTACGGGGCGCTGCTTAGTTCTCATAGAAAGTGACGATGCGATACGATCACGGACTTATCCAAATTCTTGCTTGAGCCTTTGATCTGCAAAGTGATCGAAAGTATAATTAAAATCCAAAAAACCTGTTATTACATTGAAAAAAAAAAAATAGATTTCGCGTCCTGAGCCAATGGAAGAGGCCACAGCTACGCCCCCCAACGCCCAAGATGAACCGATGCAGACGACGCCGCCGTCCACGCCCGCGGTACCGGCGGAGCCGACGACTGCGCCGACCACCGTCACTAGGCCGGAGAGCCAGACCTTCTTGCCTGCGCAGTCGCCTATACTGCCCTGCAGAACTAACCATCCGAGGTAGTATTACCGACCACCTACACCTGGCCAGAGAGCCAGACCTTGCCTGCGCAGTCGCCTATATTGCCCTGCAGCACTAACCATCCGAGGTAGTGTCACCGACCACCTACACCCGGCCGGAGAGCTAGACCTTCTTGCCTGCGCAGTCTCCTATCCTGCCCTGCAGCACTACCCATCCGAGGTAGTATTGCCGACCACCTACACCCGGCCGGAGAGCCAGACCTTGCCTGCGCAGTCGCATATACTGCCCTGCAGCACTAACCATCCGAGGTAGTATTGCCGACCACCTACACCCGGCCGGAGAGCCAGACCTTCTTGCCTGCGCAGTCGCATATACTGTCCTGCAGCACTAACAATCCGAGGTAGTATTGCCGACCACCTACACCCGGCCGGAGAGCCAGACCTTGCCTGCGCAGTCGCATATACTGCCCTGCAGCACTAACCATCCGAGGTAGTATTGCCGACCACCTACACCCGGCCGGAGAGCCAGACCTTCTTGCCTGCGCAGTCGCATATACTGTCCTGCAGCACTAACAATCCGAGGTAGTATTGCCGACCACCTACACCCGGCCGGAGAGCCAGACCTTCTTGCCTGCGCAGTCGCATATGCTGCCCTGCAGCACTAACCATCCGAGGTAGTATTGCCGACCACCTACACCCGGCCGGAGAGCTAGATCTTCTTGCCTGCGTATTCTCCTAGCCTGCCCTGCAGCACTAACCACCTGAGGTAGTATTATTTTTTGGTTGTATACATAGTGGTGACGATGGAGCGGCAAATAAAAGTTGATATAGTTAATTCACTTCACAGTTTACAAGTATAGTTCAATATTAATGTAACTCCGAATCTGAATTGTGTCTGTCCTAATATGATATGCGTGATATTATTTATTGAAAGAACCTGATGGGGCCGGAGTTTATATGCGACTGGTTTGCGTCACCGCGGACCGCGCAATGTCTAAATTCATAATCATGTAGGTACTTAAATATGTTATGATAACAGTGACCCAAATTGTTATGAATTTAGCAACGAGATTTTATAATAATGTTTTAGGTATATGACATGGTTAATTCAAATCTTTGTACCTAATTTAAGATTTATTTTCAAATTATTATTATAGACTTGGAGTGAAAAATTATAATTCTACAAATTTTTGTTTGAAACGCGCTATTAACTCCACATACGTATTATTACGTAAAAAAATCAAGTTATGATATGGTAATACAAAATTAAAATAAAACTTAAAACTATGTTGATAGGATTTAGTTTTCATTGTAATACCTAGTTATTCAGATTTATTGCAACTGATTAAAAAATAAAGTTCTTTTCTTGTATACTTTGAAATGCAAAGCCCTGCCCAGTATGAGATCAGACAATATTTTAATGCCGCGGCGCTTCACTTGTCTAATCGTATTTGTTATTTATAAAATTGACGTCAGTCTGACCTTTTTATTCCTTATAAAGCATGATAAGGTCGAAATCAAGTTACAAATAGTAAAACAACAACAACAACCTAATAAATATTGTTCCGAAAAGCATCAGCTGCAGACACGTGCCTTTTTGCACTAACGCTACAAATATTATTTAGCAGGAACAAAGCGACGAGATCAACCAGCACGACTTCTACCCAGAGCGCCAGTAATAATGATCAAAACATACGCATTGTAAGTTCTACTTTAATTTATTTTTTACTAGCTGACCTCCCATTCTGTGCTCGGCCGGGCGACCCGCTTCGGCACACAGTAGACAGTGGGCTTTGGCATCAGTACAGCCCGCCACCTTATGCCCGCTTCCCCCACAACGGAAGCAAACTTTGCTCCTGTCGGTCTCCTTCTCTGGACATCGTTGGTCACAGTGCCCCTTACCCATGCACCTGTAACAGCGCACGGGCAGGAGGTCCATGACCTGTACCCTAGCAAGGCTCTAACCAATTTGGAGCTTCCCCCCTCCTTGCAGATTTTTTGCCGTCACGATCGGGCACTACACTGTCGTGAACCAGGATTCTCCTGGACCCATGCGTAGAGCCCTCACCTTTAACTTGCCTTCCTGGCACCCACCTTCTGCTGCGATCGCAGTAAGACTTCCGTCTCCGTCACGGTCTCGTCGAGGCCAGATATGCGCAAGTGTTTGCACTTTTCCGCCCTCCCAACCTCAACAAAAGCCGCAACCGACTGCTGAAGGACGTCGGCCTTCTCAGCTGCGTTCGGCCCTGGCACCAGAATAAGCCTACTGCCCGTCTGGCTCTCCTTATTTGGACGCCCTTTGAGATACCTAGGGTGTTCAGGGTAATTTCCCTCCTCGCCATTGAGATGATGTCCACGTAGGCCGTCCCTTGTTGCACCACCTCGGGCTTGAGCTTGATCTCAAGCGCTGCTGTAGCGGGAGCCTTCAGCCTCTTCTTTCCCTCTTTAGTACTTTTGCTTTGCATTTGGCCTTCTTCTTCTTCGCAGGCTTCTGATTGGGGGCAGGTTTCGGAGAAGGGATGACCGGACTCTTCTCCAGAACCGCCACTTGAGCTGCCTTCACCTTCTTCGTCTTCCGATTGCCGCGCACCACCTCGGTCCACGGCCGTTCCGTCGCGGCTGGTTGGCTCGCGCCTTCCGTCGAAGCTGGTTGGCTCTCGCCTTCCGTTGCGGCTGGTTGGCTCGCGCCTTCCGCCGCTGCGTCTTCTTTCCTAAGAGACCAGTATGTGGTAGTCAGCAGTCCCCAACTCCTCGGCGCAGTTGACAACCATTAGCTGCCTCTTCTTCTCGATCTCGATAAGCTCAGCCAGCTCCTAGACCATCTTCTCGGGGTCCACCTTCGGTGTACCCCCCCCACCCCCCACAGTCAAGTCGCGATACAGCGGTAGGGGTCAGACTATAATACGTAATCCTCGATAGGATCTACGCAAAAGAATTGCCTGGTATACTCACCGGAAAACAACTTGAGCAATGACCATAGACAAGGAAGCCTGCGCAGTAGCCATTTTACATACAAAAACGTCTACTGAGCAAGTTTATTTATCTGTGGTTTGCTCAGGAAGGTTGCCGCTAGTGGTCAACCATAAAGTGTCTGACATTAATTTCGTGATTTTGTTACCCCTCTCCTATCCTTGTCACATTTGTGAGTCCCGCTCCCTAGTGTGACGTCACATATTTTACCCTTAGTACAAGTTTACAATTACGAAAACTATGATAGTTTTCGTGAGCTCGCACTCGTACTAATTCTACTGATTTTATTGTTTTCGTTTCAATACAAATAAACAGTGTTTAAATTCAATCATTAAATAATTTGCGTCTTTTTAAATTTTAAGAATATTTGGTCACTTTTCACCAAAATGGACATAGAAGCATAATTTACAATTACGAAAACTATGATAGTTTTCGTGAGCTCAAACTCGTATTAAGGGTACAGTTTCGAATTTAAGTTTAAAATTAACCAACTTAGATAAAATTAGCCAACAAAACAAATATAAACCCCTTATAGTAAAGTATCGATTTTAAAATATGACTTCACGTAACTTAGGACCTCTCCCACTCCTTGTCACAGTTCTTTGACCCCCTCCCTCTTTCCCCCTTTACGTGTGACGTATTTTATGGTTGACCTCCAACCTATACTTACATGTTTGTTTTAAATATTCCACGCAGGTGCCCCCCATGGTGATCGTGCAGCACTGGGGCGAGGAGTGGGTGCCGGTGTTCACGCGCGACCAACAGGAGCAGCGGCCGGAGCCCGCGGAGCCCTACAGCGACGCCTACCTGTCGGGGATGCCGTCCAGGAAGCGGCGCTGCGTGAGGCAATCGCGGCCGCCCGCTACTCTCGACGGACTCATGAATGGTGACCGTCTTATTGTCTGTGATCTACTACTACGGCCACGTTATGACGCGCCGGAACCATAGAGGTATAAGAATAGAGTAGGCGCAAACAGGCGCCATAAGGACGTCGAGTTGCAAAAACGCCCGCTGCAAGAAGAAGAAGAAATCTTCGCAACTGACATTAGTTTATGCGTTGTAAATCATGTTTTTGTGATTTGACTTCCATCCACTTCACCACTTGTTGTATTCCATCCACAAGGAAGGCTTGCGCCTCGTATTTCCTATTCGTAAAATTGACAACAGTCTGTCTGTAGATTAAAACAAAAAGAGAAGATACGGCACTCGCGGCTCAAAAGTGATTCGCTTAAATTGTGTTGTGGTGCATGAACACTCAATATATAACAATATTGCGTATATTCTGTGTTATAAAGATAAATCAATGCCTTCGATGCTTTTATAAAGAACATAAATAGTTCAAAGTAAAATAACAATTGCCTCGGTAACACTTCATTCGTAAAACTGTAAAAGCATTTTTTTCTCAAAAATCACGGTTTGTCGTGAATGTTACTAACGTAATCGCCATTTTGTTATCAAGAAGAGGACCACAATACAGCTTAGCCGTACGGTCTCGGAAACAGATTCGCCGTTTTGCTCGCGCTGCGTTGAAGCATACAGTATCCTTAGCACGAACCAATATCGAATTCATAACGTTTGCGAGTCCGAATTGTCATTGTCAAATGAGTACTGATTTTTAATTCTCGTTCTCTTTGTGGCGCTGCTGTTCAAGTTTCCATACAAAATTTGATACTGATGTTTTGCACTCGCAAACTATTCGAATTCTATAATGGTTATTTCTAGGGGTACAGATCTGTCTCGCTCGCTCGATTGAATGTTTATATACAGACGTGTGCGTGAGTTGCTTATGCAGTTAAGTCGGATCGTATTTCAGTTGATCCTAGTTTATGAGCGTACCGTATCTTCCCTTTTTGTTTTAATCTAAGTTTACGAGGAATGAAAAGGACAGACTGATGATGATGGTGGATTATGAAGTGGGTTTCAAAGGACAATGGCGAACTCCCATACAAACTTTTGTTGAAAAAATTTTTTGCGTCTATAAATGAATTGCATGTTAAATTATACAGTTTAGATTCTCGATTTGATTCGTTTTATTTCTTGTGTTATAGGAAGTCTGGATTTATAGATATTCTTCTTTGAAGTTTTGGAGGTTATGTCATACCAAGTAATACAAAAACGAATTATAAAAGTATTTTCAAGAGTATTTTTATATCAAAATAAAAATGGAACGGAACTAAAGAAGTATACCGGTCCCGTAGATTAGTGACGAAAAAAAACGTTTTTTATAATGTATGATTAGTGGGCGTAGGTACTGACCGGCCGCGTCAAAATACTTAATAATACTTAAAAGACAAGGGTTTTGAGTTTGAATACAATGTCTTTGCTGTAAGAAGTTGTCCTTTAATCACGTTTTTGTACAGAGAGCGTGCGCGAAGCGTCGTCGCGCGAGGGTCGCGAGTCGCGCGTAGTTCAGCTGGAGCGCGTGGAGCGGGACAGCGCCATTCGTGCGGCATTCCGCGAGCGGTTGCGGCACATGGCGCGCGCTCGTGCGAGCGGCTCCGACGACTACGACCCGCACCGGTACGCGTCCGCCGCGCGCTTCCTGAGCCCGCCCAGGTAGGGTAACTATTTAAAATTTTGAAAAGTACTGACTAAAAGCCGGATATTTCGATAAAAGTCCGGACATTTTAGTCACAAAATGCAAACAGCACCCACTTAGTTACAGTGATATTATACGCGTGGTAGCAGACGCTCGCATTGCGAGAGGGGTCTCGTTGTTAATTTTTTAATATAATTTATATTTTGTTTTAAATAATGAGAACTAAATAAATATTATTTGGCTTATTTGATATAACTTAATAAGTAGTTTTACTCATATTCCATCTAATTAAAAAAATCCGGACAAATTAAAAAACCGGTCAAAGTCCGGACAAAAGGCAAAAAGTCCACGGTCAAATCCGGACGGATGGTAACCCTACGCCCTACCCAGGTGACTGTTATCTATCATCATCCCTCTCCACAAGTGCAGCAGCTTCCCGTCATTATCAATCGCGTCTACTACTTAGTGGTTAGGAAAGGAGTGAGAGTGTCGGTAATGGGCATGGAAGCATAAGAATAAATCGCTGGTACCGATAGAAACCTTGTTACCTCCGGCACCGGAGGAATTACTCAACGTCATGTTTTGCAATCGCAAAAAAGACTATGGTGCCACTTGTGTATGCAGGAAAGCCGACTTCGAATGCTATATTGAAAGTTGTCAATTCTGTGTTCTGATTGGGGAGCATTGTACATGGCTAAGAAGACACGTACATCAATTTAATCACTTCACGCTCTATCTCCAGAACTGCGCATGATATTCAAAATTGCTTTACAATAAATTTATCGACAATTTTATTCCCTTTAACTTTCCTAATAATGAAAAATTACATTGAGTGCAAAGCAAACGAGATGTTCGCAATATATATATATACCAACACGGTAAATGTTAATCTTTCGAGACGTACGATCAGTTAATTGTTGATCCGAAAAGAAATGTTGATCCGGTGGCTTTATGTTGATCCATTATGCTATTTCTCATACTGATGTGGCTCCGATCGGATCAACATTTGGTATATTTGTCACGTGACTTAGCTGCTAATTACGCTTGTCAAATGTGGCTCCAATATACAAAGCTGCTCCGATAAATGTTGATCCGATTCAAACGGACCAATCAGGATGAAGCACTTTATTACTTCCACCGTGATTGGCCGATGGAGGTCAATACAACCTTGCCGTTCCGCTTATTACAGTAGTTGATCCATTGAGAATCGAAAATCTTACATATAAAATTCTCGTGTTACGGTGTCCGTAATTGAACTACTCTGAAACGGCTCGACCGATTTTCGTGAAATTTTATATGTATATTCATTAGGTCTAAGATTGGACAACATCTATTTTTCATCCCCCTAAATGCTAAGGGTGGTCTACTCTTAATTTATTTTCTTTTTGGTCATTTTTTTTGTTTTTAATTTTTTATGATAGATCATACAAAAATATATGCAACCCTAAATTTTCACCCTTCTACCACCAAGCCCTATTTTTTATGGCGATACGATGTTTCGCTGGGACAGCTGGTATTAATATAAGAACGCTTTCGTTTGAATTGAGTTTAATGAAATGCGGTCAGTTATTAGACGAGTAGGATTTGCCGCCCTCATCGAATGAAAAGGATCAAATTTTACTCTCGAATCGAAAATCGTTTAAACGACGTGGGGCTGAATCTATCGGAGAACCAGTATGGGTTCAGTAGAAGGCTGTCCACCTCTGAGTCGCGTCTACGCGATACTCAGACTAAAACGGCTGTCCCAACAGACATTTAGCAGAGGGGCGGTTGTCATAGCGATATCGCTTGACATACTCGTAGCAAACGCATTTAACACCCTTCCATACAGCTGTATTAGGGAGGCCTTCTACCACCACCGGCTCCCCACATATTTATTGGTCATAACGGAGCACTATCTCCAGGACAGAGAAGTGCTCTATACAGATTCTACACGGCGCGTAGTTGTTCGCAATATGACGTGCGTGCTTCCACAGGGGTCGGTCCTCGGACCGCTCCTGTGGGCGATTCGCGGAGATCTACTGCCCCGTATGGGGGTCATCTGCTATGCAGACGACACTCTGGTCACCATACGGGGCAACAATTATGCAGACATGACCCGTTTCGCCAGAGCAGGAGTAACATCCACATTCAAGTGGACGGGGTAAGGGTTCCATTAAAACCCTCAATGAAGTACCTGGGGCTCTGGCTTGACTCTCGCTGGAAGGTAGTGAGCATTTCCAGTGCCTGGGCCCCAGGCTAGGGGGAGCGGCAGCTGTCCTAGGCAGACTCGTGCCCAACTTAAGGAGGACCTAATGCCCCGTGTCGAAGGCTATATGCGGGTATCCTTCACAATATGGCCCTGTATGGTGCGCCGTTCTGGGTGGACGCCATTAACACAGAGAATAGGGCTATGCTGCGAACCGTGAGAACCGTGGCCAATTGCGTAGTTGATGGCTCTCGAACGATCGCCTGGGCTGTAACATGCGCCCTAGCCGCCACCCCGCTTTGGAAGCTTGATGCTTAGATCTTAACGGTTGTTTATAATGAGCACGCCGACACCAGGGAGCGGGATGAACGACCCGCCATTGAGGCTCTAGTAAGGGCAGGAAGAGAGGCGTTCGGGCATGGCTGCTTTGGAAATTACCTGCACATGATCCGAAGGAAGGCGACCCGTCGTGTCATGAGGGCGGCGCTGCTGAGGACACTGCGCAGCTTACTCTAGAGGTGCGTAGCGCATGGGATCAGCAATGTCACACCCTAACGACGATTCTCTGCCTAGCCTAGTCAACGTTATGCTGAGCGGCGACGGGTCTTGGCGTGCCGTGGTCTCCTTTAGTGAGGACGTCATCTCGCAAAAGGAGGCAGTAGTCGAGTCAATGAAGCTTTTTACCTGGAAACCCGGTGGAACAGCTTCGATTTTGATGATTTTTTTCTTAAGAAATTTGTTTTTTTTTATATTATTTGAAATCAGAAACCTCTGGAGAGGGGTCAATAATTTTTTATATTGTTTAAACAATTTTTATGACATTATTGGATTTTTTTTAAAAATAGGAATTGAAAACTCACAAAAAAATATGTTTATGTTATTGTTTTCATATTGTTATCACAAATAATTGTATCAAAAACTTTTAAAAACAATTAATTATAAGATCTTTCATAAATATAATGACATGACACTGATATACATAAAAAAGTTAGGATATATAGTATAGGATAGTTTCATGAAATATAAGAAATTAATAGTTTCATTATTACATAAATAAAAAACGATGCAGGCTGACGCTGAGCCACATCCTGTTTTACAGGAGCAGAATATTATTTTTAAGACGTTTTCGGGTGCTGCGGGTTACGTCATTTTAATTGGAGTTAAATAATTATCTTTTTGCCAACCCCATTTTTCGGGAGGTATTGGTAAATCATTTTTCCACTGCTGTATTTGTAAATATACTCTTTTGATATGTTGTTTCGCTGCATCCTCTGTACGCTGCTGTCCTCTGTAGGAGGCAGCGAATGAAGTTGAATGCTTTTATCCTTAGTGGCTAACGCTATGAAACGTTTATAACGAAGTTCATTCAAGTTTTTGGCAGTTTTAGCACCGTACAGTGTGAGAATACAATAAATACCACCATTAAAAAGTACTTCTTCTCTTTGGTCCTCAATCATAAAAGTTTCAGCTGCTGCACGTAACTTCGGATCCTCATTAAAAATTTTAATTAATTAATTTTTTACCTTTATTATAGAAAGCGGATGTAGTGTCACATCCTGTGAATGAATGAATAAACAAAAGATGCTCTTTTTTAACATTTTCATATTGATTTAAACTTGTTTTTGTTGAATAAACTCTTTGTAAAGCATTATTTTTGAGCGGTTTCAGAAAGAACAATTCTTTATCATCACTTGCTAGAGCCATAAATAACACCAATACATCAATATCTTCTGCTACGGTAACCACATTAAGAAAAGAACAATCTAAAGCTGATTGTACTATTAAATGGTCAGCATCACTTTCTGCTTGACTCCACTAAAAATTATTTTCGGCTAGTTTCTTGCAAAGAAGATTGTTAAATCGATTTTTATTCTTGCTATTTCCTAAAAAAATGTCCTTGGTTGTATTTAGAGGCATGTATTTTACAAATAAGTAATTAATGGATTTATATATGTGTATATATATGTATATGAAGTAACTAAAATGTAACGTAAGTGCTCAACGCATTCATATTATTGACCAATACATCGTATTTTAGTGGTTTAAATATTAAATTATTATTAAAAGCCTCATTTTAACAACTATTTTTTATACTAACATTAACATAAAAATATTTTTTCCAAAAAAAGCGATAAATCTTTTTTTTTTATAAAAATGTCATAAATATTGTTTAAACAATAAAAAAAAAAAATTTGCCCCTTCCCAAAGGTTTCTGATTTTGAATAATATAAAAAACCATTTTATTAAAAAGAAAAACCATATCGAAGCTGTTGCACCGGGTTTCCGAGTTTTGCCTGTTTTATGTCTTTATTGACTCGACTATAGCGGAGAAGGCTCACGAGGTGGACGCTAGAGCTGACCTCCTGCGCCGTCGAAGAGAAGGAAGGAGAAGACGCCTGTATGCGCGGCTCCCTCCATAGGTAGTTGGCACATCCTAAGTTCTCTCGATCCCTGTGTATGATGACCGAGTCGAGTGTTGGGTGGCCGGGTCGGGGGTGAGGTTGAGTGGCCTGCCCCGCGTGGCGCCTCTGCCCGGACCTGCACGACCCGACCTTGCTCTGTGCTTCCCTGCGCCGCCGCTGCCGTGTCCCTCATGCTCCTCTCCGAGCGAGAGGGGTTCGGGCGGCTCGACGGCGTTGGGAACAGGAGAGGAGACCTAGAGAAGTTACCCCTCTTACAGGGAAGGATGAGGCAGTTAAGGTTGACCGACGCTGCATATGACAAAATTCAGTGCTTCAAATTCATTGCTCCAGTTTCATTTATTGAATTTCATTTTCTGGTATAATGTTTTGGATGACCATTTTTCAAAATGTCCTAATTAAATCGATTTTCTACCGAATCTACTAAACTATACCGATTTTCTACTGAAATTACTACTAAATCATCAAAATCAGAAATCATTTATTCAGTCTAGGCTGTTACAAGCACTTGTGAAGGTTAAGAAGCTACGCCATCGGTTCGTAAAACTACGGCGGGAGACCTTGTACTAAGAAGAATCGGCAAGAAACTCAGTAAGGTCTGTTTTTTTCTCCCTGTATTGTTATATACAGAGTCGTCAAGTTGAAAAATTACTTTAGAGGTACTTCTGAAGTCACCTTTCCATTACATCATTTAGGATATTATAATACAATAAATTTTAAAGTTAACTTTATATTTAGTATATAGTTAGCGACATTAGATAGGCACCATATTACTGTTATGAAAAATGACTAATACCCATCAAATAACAAATTAAAAAAAAAAAAAATAACAAATTACAAGAAACACTATGTCCATGCATTACGATCATTTAGATAATAATCAACTTTATAATAGCCCTTATTCATAACATTATTTTTGATCTGAGATTTAAATTTGGTCAGTGGAAGCTCAATTAGACCTTAGGGAACTTTTTTAAACAATGCAATACTACAACCCAGAAATGAACCTCTAATTTTTAGAGTCTGAAACATGGAACGGCAAGCTTGTTCTTAAATCTCGAGGTAAAGTTATGGGTTTGACTTTTTTTGCAAATGCGTCATAGTTTTTTCTTACATTACCTACACTAATATTATAAAGGCGAAAGTTTGTGAGTGTTTATGTTTGTTACTTCTTCACGTATAAACGCCTGGAGCGATTTTAATAAAATTTGGTATGAAGTTAGCTTGCACCCTGGATTAACACATAGGCTACGTTTTACTGCGAGAAAATATCCCTAATAAACCGCGGGTAACACCGCGGGTAACACCGCGGGGCACAGCTAGTATATTATACATATTGTCACAAACGCCCTCGAAACGTAACCACGAAAGTGCCAGAGATCGAATTTGCCAGATCACCGCGGGTCACGATAGATGTCGAGTAATGCGGCTCATTCTAAAATGAGCCTTATGCAGTGTTTAGTGAGTGATTTGTAATTAACATTGTATGTTAATTGTGTGAACTGTGTGGTGAATAAAGAACTATCAAGCGTGAACTGGCATATAATTTCGAACCCCATCCCGACACGTAACAACTGGTGACAGAAGTGACATGCCAGTCACACCGCGCGACGGAAGTGAAGGCGCGTACGCACTCGACGGCAGGCCGTAATGGACCATTCGCGGGAATCGGGAGTAGCGGCGCCTGAAGAAGATTCAAGCACACCACAGACTGCTCACCACAGTGGTGTTATCGCTACAGCTACTGCGCCTGCCTTCGACATATCATCGTTAATGGCGGCTATGCAAGCTATTCAAGAGGGCCAACGACAAGCTATGGAAAGTCAACGACAAGCGCTCAAGGACGCCATGGAGCACCAACGACAAACTATTCAGGAGGCGTGAAAGCAGTTATTGACTCGAAATTTGAAGCATTTAAAACAACTTTGTGCGGCCTCCAAGAAGAAATAGAATGCGTAAAGAGTCGTACCAGCAAACACCAGGAGACCCTAGACAAACACCAGGAGAGCATAGGTGAATGCAAGGAGACTACAGGTCCATGAGAAAATGTTAAGACCTTCAAAAAACCAAGGTCATGAGCACCGCCATGGCAACCACGGGTACCACAGCACCAAAATTTAAAGTACCGGCGTTTGATGGTACAACTTCTTGGACGGCATTCAGACACCAATTTGAAGTCGTAGCCAAAGGGAACGGCTGGGAGGACGAACATGCCCCGACCGCACTCACTCTTGCGCTCAGGGGGGATGCTCTTCTGATATTGGAGAATGTACCAGCCGATCAACGAAGTTTGGAAACTCCTCAAAGCTCTGGAGGCTCGTTACGGGGATAAACACCTAGAACATGTGTATCGAGCGCAACTAAAAGAACGTTCGCAGAAACCAGGAGAAGGATTGCAGCAGTGGGCCACGGAGAGTGAACGACTAGTGCGTCGCGCTTATGCGTCCAGTAAGACATCCATAGAAGACATTGTAGTTCAAGCTTTTGTGGATGGTATAAGAGAGCACGAAGTAAGAGTGGCCGTGCGTTTGGGACATCATGCGATATTGGAAACCGCTTTAGCACACGCGCTGGAAGTAGAGATGGTACGGAGTGACTACAGGACGCACAGAGTGCGAGAAGTTGTGGCAGCAGTCAAGCCTCGAGGTGGACCAATGTGCTATGGATGTGGAGAACGAGGACACATCAGGATTAGCTGTCCGGTCCAGCGGAGAAACGGGACAATGTCAACCGCTACTCAGGTTGATTGTAGCGTGGACTCGGTTCCAGAGCTGGCACGAGCTGGACGTCGTTTAGCTCCCACACTACGAGTGTCACAGGCATGTGATGGAAATAGTCTCGTAACCGCAGGAGAAATAAACGGCAAGCCTGCACAACTTACAATTGACACAGAGGCATCGAAAACTATCGTACGGCCGCAACTTCCCAAGCGTACAATTATGTGGCAAGATAAAAGATCTGCGTGTCAATTGCAAACAGCTACAAAATCTACAGACAAAGCGTCTTGGTTGCTAACATAACGGACGACTGTATACTCGGACTGGACTTCTTACGATCACAGCAGTGTGTGGTGGATATCGCTAGAGGAGTATTGAATTTCCCGGATCAAGAAATATTTCTAGAAAGAAAGCCTCCGCCAGTAGTCTACAACACCAGAACGGTTACCCTACCAGCGAGGTCAGAGACATTGGTAGAAGTCAAGTTTCCGGAAGGGGCGTCATCGAATCGATGTGTCGTGGTAGAAGATACCGGGAGTCACCCTAGTTGGATCACGGCAGCAATGATGCTCGGGACGAGCATGTCTAAGAGGGGGGCAGTGTCACAAACGCTCTCGAAACGTAACCACGAAAGTGCCAGAGATCGAATTTGCCAGATCACCGCGGGTCGCGATAGAGGTCGAGTAATGCGGCTCATTCTAAAATGAGCCTTATGCAGTGCGGCATAAGGGTGAAAGTGCAACGACATCTGCACTTGTTTACAAGTTATGCGTGTTACCTGCGTAGGTATAGGTAGGTATTTCGTACTCGCGGGTGCTAGATAATTCTCAATTTAACAGGTACTTTCTAGAATGCGTCGATCGGCGTATATAAGCGCGATTGGCGCCGCGCAGAGACAGTTGAGTTTCAACAGAGATTTCGGAGCGAATCCAAAGGCGATCAAAGTGCAACAAAAGTGTTCAAGTGAGATTGTTTAGAGACTTGTATAGTGAAATACAGTGTTTAGTGAGTGATTTGTAATTAACATTGTGTGTTAATTGTGTGAACTGTGTGGTGAATAAAGAACTGTCAAGCGTGAACTGGCATATAATTTCGAACCCCATCCCGACACGTAACAATATTTTCATAAATGTATTGCGATGCTAGTGTTAAAATATTAATTTCTTTAAAATGTTCCCTAACAGATTCTTTGCTTTTAAGTTGTATATGGCGCGAACAGCTCTCTTTTACAGTATGAAAATACTTTTGATATTGGCAGATCAGCCCCACAACACAAGGCCATATGTCATAACATCGTTCTCTTTGCCTCAAATTTACCAAAAAAGTAGAAATCTGTTAGAAGTGGTTACGCTGGACTCATGTAAAATACATCTCTTCAATTCAAAATGCAGAAATACTGGACAGAATGTTGTCTCACATAAACTTTTAATAGAAACGTATGCTTGCTTCATTTGCTCAATAGCGCGACGTTGCCGTACTCTTCATATTCAACTAAAAAGTCAAAAATAAATCGGAGCCACATTATGCGCTTGCGTATAATTTTTTTGACCATTATTGGATCAACAAAAACCTTAACATTTTAATACGAGTAAATAAAAAAAACGGGTAAGTGCACATCGACTGACGTCCCACGCTGAATTCATATATTCGAGCTATACAGCCGTATCTCAATCCAGAGCTGAAGGTACACTCGAAATAGGTGGATCAACATTTGTTCTAAATCAGTACTGGATCAACTTTTACCGTGAAAGGTTGATTATATATATATGTATATATATACACAAGTCATCCTGTTACCATTAATAGAATTGTTGTTTGGTGCTTCGTAACTTATTAATTTTATTCGTTGTATCCAGTTTCAGACCGAACAGGCAAGAACAGACGGAAACCGAAAACAAAGAAAATGGCGTCTGAATAATTAACTGGACGACCCGGTGGTAGATAATATAACCAATATTGTCCTGCTATTTTATCTGCTTGGCCTATATTACCAGGCTTCTTTTAATTAAATTGCAATGCAATTAGACAGATCACTATAATCGTTAAATGTTTCCGACTAAATCGCATGATATTAAGGACAGTGTAATACGTCTTTTTAATCATTTCAACCGTTTACATGTTATAAAGTTCAATAAATGTTTAGTGAATTAGTCATCGATATTTAAAATGTGGATTTATAACAACTAAGATTGGTAGGTGAATCGATTTTATCATTATAGTTTCTATATTATATATACAATTTATCCAGTGAAAGTTTATTATTTTAATCTGTATTTATTATTTTACTTTATTCATTGTTACATTATTTTGTGTGCTTTCTCTTGTTTTCATTGGTGTTTATATCATCATGTTTTTTTTATCATAATGCATGATTTTGATTCACACGGGCCCACTTGCACCTAAGTTCTTAAATTTAAAAGCTAAAAAAAGTTTAAGCAGCTATCTCTATTTGACACTGAACTATTGACAAATTGGAATGGTGTTTTAAACAGCATTAAGCCTTAATTTGATTTAAGTATTTTGATGCAAGTGACCCTCACTATATATAATTATTATATAATAATAAAAAAAAAATATAATTACACTTACTAGAGGTGACTACTTAATTAGAAATCTTTAAATAAGTAATCTCCGAAAATGTTTTAGACAGTCTGATGGTACTTGATAATACATTATCCAGAGCAATATTGTTAGTCTCATTATGAATATTGTCAAATAATTACATTTTTGCTTACCCATGCTGTATTTTTAACCGTATGGTTTTTCGTACATCTTTGTTCCAAAGTCTTGGCAAGTATGGTTTATTTTGGTCCAAACTTAGACGTTAAAAGTTAGAAGACTTCTCTCATCTAGGCCTAGCAAGATATACTCCATTAACAGTTGTTGATTTTTTAGTGATGATTTAATGAAAGAAGGAAAGCAAAGTTTTTCCTTACGAATTCTACTTTAAAATCAAAACTACTACTACTTTAACAACATAAAACCTAAAATCTTAATACCGGCCAAGTGCGAGTTAACCTCCCTCGTTAGTCTTGCTAATTCAATAGCCAAAAATGGTCTGTTGTATCACAAAGCCTTACTGCAGAACGGCAGAACAGCTATAAAACAAAATGCCTAAAATCAATGTCTAAAAGCAAAAACGTCTAAAAACTTATTATACCTAGAAAGCATAAATCCTAAAATCATGACATTTGATAACTTCAGTAAAATTTAATTCTATTCTGAAGATAATGAATCGTTGAGAAAAACGAAAAAAAAATAGAAAACGTGTAAAATCACCTATATAAAAAAGTTATTCTTTTTTTATTTGCAAGAAATAATTTTGTAAAGCATTATTTAAAAAAATCTAAAATCTCTTGACTTTATTTTTTACGAAAATTTAATAGTACAGACTTACTGAAATTTAATACTGCTTTTAGTCATTGTGCGTTTTAGGGACTTGCATTTATAGACATTCTGCAAATTAGGCTTAATACTAATACGTAATCTACGTGTGAAAGGCATATACGGATGCGAAGGATCTTTTTCTTTTAACGTGAAGGTTTTGAAAGCTGTTTTATTTCAAACTTATTGTTATTTCAAGCAGGATTGACTGTGGTAATGTACAATTGTAGTTTTAATAAAATATATTTATGCGTATTTCATTTTCAAGCGTTTTTTTTTACTGTCATTTACTTGATAAAGTAGCGACTTATGCATTTGTAAAAAAAACTCACAACTCAACAACTTTGTATAGAAGTCATAGTTAATATTGTTGATTGTTTGTCATCTTATGGGTTTGATAAAAACTGATTATGATCATTATTAGCTGTGCTAAAGTACATGTTTTAGTTAGAAAGAATGACCATACACACACTGGCATTTATACAACACTGACGACTCCGTTGGCCTATTTAACAGCACATTTCGACCATGTACTATTTTAATGAATTGCTCACATTTGATTTTTTTTGAATACTTGCATGATTATCATTAAAGAGAATGAATAATAAAAGTTGATTTAATTGTTGATTGTTTTCTTATGATATGTACACATAATGTCAATAGGGTTGTCTGAAAGCGAATTTCCCGTTCCGAAACGAACGTATTGTTGATTTTGATGAATTTTCTGACAGCTCTGTTGACCAAATAATTATTGAAGTTGTAGTCAATTTTAATTGTACGGAAAAATGCTGAAAAATATCAAACGTGTAGTAGATGTTATGGGGAAAATAAATATAAATATTCCAGGTTTTGTTTTTTTTTTCATTTCCCGTAAGTACCCAATTTTAACCATTAGTTTGGACAATAGACGGAAAGAAAGAAAGGAGATGGTGGAGCTCTCAGGTGCAGCTCAGAGGGATTCTTATTCATGCAATTCATATCAGGGGCGTATTTTAAAATCTGGCGCCCCGGGCCACTTAGTCATAAGTGGCCCGGGGCACCCCCTCCCCCTAGAATGAATAAATCAAATCAAAATATAGGTCAGTAACGTACACCTTTAAATCTCTTCTGTGGCTTCTCACAGCTCTCATCCGCTCTCGCTGCCGGTCGCCCCCGGCCATGGCATTCTTGGCCCTAGGGTAAATGAGCGTATTTATCCTTGGGCCAAGAATGCCATGCCTGGCAAATATTATAACTGCGTAAGGGCCGCGAAAAACCGCTGAACTGATATAGGTGCAATCTAATATATAAAATTCTCGTGTCACGGTGTACGTAATTGAAATATACTACGAAACGGCTCGACCGATTTTTGTGAAATTTTATATGCATATTCAGTAGGTCTGAGAATCGGACATCTATTTTTCATCCCCCTAAATGGTAAGGGTGGTCCACCCTTAAAATTATTTTTGTTTGGTCTAGATTTTTTGTTATTTTTTATAGTACATCATACAAAAATACATACAACCCTAAATTTTCACCCTTCTACCACCAACCCCTATTTTTTTACGGCGGTAAGATGTTCGCTGGGCAGCTAGTATTATATAGAATAGTTTCGAGTCCCGTGAATGGGTATATATGATATTTTTTATCTCGGAAATCATCCTTGAGTGGGTGAAAACGGGGTGTGGAATTTAGTACGGGAAACCGTTCTAAGCAAGCAGACGGAAGTCGTGGGTGCCCACACACCGGCTTGATTGAACGATAATAAGATAATACAAACACATACGTACGGACACGATCGCTTTACCTCTTTCGTACACCGGCACTTCACTTGGTTGTTCGTATTACCTTTCTTAAATTGACAACAGTCTCTCCTTTTAACCGCTATAGAGTATGATGAGGACAATCCGCGCTGAAAATGACAAATAACAAATAGCTTAGGCATCCAAGTGTCGAGTAAAACTGGGACTGGGTATCTACCCAGTCCCAGTTTTACTCGACACTTGGACAGATGCCTAGTCAGTCCCAGTTTTCTCGCTCGCTCACCCCATTCCCTGTCTATGGTTGGGACCACAGAACACAGAAAGACCTATCTATTTCTGTGTTCCGTGGTTGGGACCTATTGCCCACCCACTGCATGCATCTGTGCAGCCGTTGGCTAGGTGCCACTTATCCTTATTTGGTTGGTTTGGTCCGTATGGGGACAGTGGTGGCATATTTTCTTATGTGATTATGTTCACAGCACACGTAAGGCCCCAGTAATGAGTTTTTCCAAAGTCCCAGTAAGTTACACAAGTCAACAAAGTGAAAAACAAATAACCAGAAACCTCATTTTTATTTTGTAATTTGCTTTTGTACTTTATACCTACAATGATAAATAAAAATGTATGATTTTTGTAAAAGGCTGAGGGACTACTGCTTTTAATGAGCAAAAGAAAGGAGTGCAGAAGGATATTGGGTATGGAACAGAAAGCAGTAAAGCAAGAGCAGTCACTCAGTGTGTGTACACACATTTTAGAGAAATGACGTATTTTATGAGTCTTGAGCGGCAAAATGCATTCCAATATGAGTAAAAACTACGTGGACTCCGTTTGATTTATTTGCGGAGATTTTTAAAAATTCTGCATCAATAATAGTTTATCTAGTAGAAAAATACTTAATTAAGCATAATATGAAGCTTAATTTTAACTACCTATTCGAAGTCAGGATAAAATATGGGCGTCAGCCTTAAAGCATAAACCAATAGCAGCACATCCAGAGAATTAGAAATAGAAATAAATATTAAGTATGACATATTCTTATTCGTTATGAACCTTATGCTTATTTTATGTCTCCGTTGCATAAAAAATGGTTTATTGAAAGAAACAATTTATTATGGCATTGTATTGTCAAAATTCTGAAGACATTTTGCCCTGAATTTTCAGAGACTTAAAATTATAAGAAATGCTAAATATATCAATTTTTCATACTTAATCAATATCTTTTTTGTATTTATAGACTGGTTGAACGTGAATGGTTCCACGAGACATATGATTGACTTCATCATGTCGACATAACGGCACTTATTCCAAGATGTCTTTGTGATCAATAGGGTGAAAATCGTAGCGATCGCCGGATGGTAAGAGGCACATTGAATAAGTATCAATGTTAAGCTTGAAAGGTCGCAATAGGGATGATGACTAAGTTTTTTTTCTTCGTTTATCAGGTAGATTTTAAAAAAGTATTGGACACGTATTTTTTCTTTTTTCACATAATATAAACCTTGCAGAGATATATTCATTTTAAAAGTCGCATGACGTCACGTTTGAGTACACTTATAAGTAAAAATTCACTCAAAAGTGACGTCACGAGCCCCTACTCCCAAACTTTGACGCGCTATAACTTTGTAATTTTTTGGTTGATTGCCCAAAGAAAAAATACTTGTCCATTATTTTTTGATCATCTAACTGATGGACTAAATAGAATTTCGTTTACTGTACCCCGTCATCACCCCTATTGGTTATGTCAACTCCGACCCTCTCGTGCACATATCCAAAACCCTGAAGGTTTCCAACTCGCAAACTACAAAATCGCTTTGCTTGTCTGGAAAATTGCGTATTGGTGGACGATATTAACAACAGGTTGGTCGGAACTGTCCACGAAGTGGGGTCCAAGCTATATAAGACCCATAGAACTAAAGGGCACCAAAGGACCTTACTCTTGGACTCATGAGAGCAAGGCAAAATATGAGACTCCAGTCTTCAACGGATGTGGCAGCTTATCTCCAAGTCTTACGGTCAGGTCACACGAACTTAGGTTATTTAATACCGAAAGGATTAAAGATGAGGAGCTGGCGAATTATTAATAATTATTACATAAAATTTAATTTTACAGGAGCTGTATAAAACTGAATGACATACTCCAGTGAGCTTTTGGCACGATTTTTACTTTATCAATTTAGTAATTTTAACACTGTTTTAGGCGGTTTTGTTTAAAAATTATTTGAGATTCAAATTTATCGGGCCTGGACTGTAAAAAAAAAGTAGTTTGACCAGATGCGTAATTATACCGTTTTGTTCGTAAGTTCCTCAGATACCATTAAGAACAATAGAGGCATAAAAGTGTTCGCGAGAGAGCTGTCTATCGGACAAAGTCACCTGACGCGGCTGAAGACCGAAAACGGTAGTCTCAATTCGAAGCCTAAGATTTTGAGGGCAGTCGAGATCTTGTGATTCTATGGACAGTTGTACACCTCAGTACAGAAACCTGTTGCTGATTTGGCTAAAGATCCCAGAGCCAAATTAACCCGACATTATACCGAAGATATCCCGGACGAAAGTCTATACGAGATTAGTATGACAATCAAACAACTGAGAATAACAATGCGCTAGGGCATGACGGAATCACAGCAGAACTCCTGAAAGCAGGGAAAACCAGTACGTAAAATCTTTCAGCGATTGTTCATTTCCGTTATCCACGAAGGCATTACGCCAGAGGAATAGCACAGGAGCGTGGTGGTACTCTTCAAAAAAGGTGATAACACCCCATTGAAAAATTACAGACCCATCTCGCTTCAATGGTGAAGCATAGACAGGACTAATACTTTTATTGTAACATCACTATTGTACCTATGTTTATGAATAAATTAATTCTATTCTATTCTGAGCCACGTCTACAAGTTGTTTTCGATATTCATAACGAACCGTCTCGCTAATAGGTTAGACGACTTCCAGCCTTCCGAACAAGCCGGATTCCGTAAAGGTTGCAGCACCATGGACCACATCTAGACGCTGCGGTAGGTTATACAGAAGTCCGAGGAATATTACCCACCACTCTGCTTAGCGTTTGTGGATTATGAGAAAGCGTTTGATTCGGTGGAGACATGGGCTGTGTTGAGATCTTTGCAGAGGTGCCGTATCGACTATCGCTACATCCAAGTGCTGAAGAGTTTACACGAAAGTGACACCATGACAGTCTACATACAAGACCAGACCACGAGATCTATCCAACTACAGCGAGGAGTGCGACAGGGAGATGAAATCTCCCCGAAGCTGTTTATCGCTGCGTTGGAAGAAGACTTTAAACTTCTGGATTGGAGTGGACTTGGCATCAATGGCGAGGCAATCTTCGATTTGCCGACGATAAAGTCGTTATGACAGAAACTTTGGAGGATCTCAATACAATACTCAATGACCTTAACCGAGCCTCTCAACAGGTGAGCCTTAAAATTAACACGAGTAAGACGAAAATCAAAAAAATAATTGTAATGAACCGCGCCGTACCCTTTTTTGCATTGACAAAATTAATTTAGTCGTTCTTTAGGTGCAGGCGGTTTGTTGATTCTAATGCGGTGCAATGAACCTTCCTTCAAGAAATACCCCCAATCTGTTGTTGAATTTTTTCGTCTCCAAGGCACTGTTGGATTTGAAAATAACTATATCCACTAGACACATGAAGCGGTTTATCCTCCCAAAAGAAGTTATCACTTCAACAATAGATTGGTTTTTTAAAACTAACTCCTACATGTTTAGTGGTAGAAAGTTTTTTCAAACATCATTTCGTACAGTTTTTCAAGAGATACAAGGCTTTGTAAATTAATTCTCTTAAAATCCCTTGCTTTTGAAATGGGGTGAATTTAAACGGCTCGAGTAAGTTGGTGCTTGCTCGTAAATAGAAGCTTTATACGGCCAGCTCCAATTTTTCTAAAATTAAGCATTTTAAATTGGTCAAGGAGGAGCTCGATGGGGCAAGTGGTTAGCGCGTTCGGCTGCGATCGTTAAAGTTAAGCAACTTTCACAGTGGTCGGTCATTGGATGGGTGACCAAAAATTTACTATCTCGAGTGCTTCGGAAGGCACGTTAAGCCGTTGGTCCCGGCTGCATCTGCAGTC